AGCGCTTTGGGGTCCTATGGACTAGAAAAGCGCTATACAAATGCAGGCCATTACCAGGCCATACACAAGGGACAGCTCTTCATTGTGACCAAATTGCTTTTCCACCCATCTATAGTCATGTTTTTAATGCTATTAAGTTTTCCCTATTAACACTTGACTGACTTGCTTTAGGAGGTAACCACAAATGCAGGTTATTTCTACATGAGCTTTATTTCAGCCTCAGGGGTTGTTGCTTCCAGAGACCCAGTGAAATTACTCTACTGAAGTAGATTTACCCTAGGAAGCGCTACTTTGATCTCTGTCTCCACCAGCTGAAGTTCTAGATGTGCATGCTCTTTGTCAGTTCAACTGAGAGGGTTGCTAATGTGCTTGCTCTTTGGGCTCGAAACTGCAAAAGTGCCATGCAATTTGGGTAACTTAATGGAGGACGTTTGCAGTACTTAAAAAAGAATTATCCTTGAACACATTTTATTTTCAATTTTACAACGTAAAGTTGGTTCAGAGAGAAACGGGGGAAGGGAAAAATAGAAAGAAGGTTAAAACTAATTTTAGAGCGAGCTAAGGGCAAAACAGTGAATCAAAGAATATTAGAAAAAAATTTAATCACTAATTGCTTAAAAACAAGTCTCAACCCTAACTCCTTATCAGCAGGAAAAAAATAAAAAACAATAGATAACTAAATGCTCTGGTAAATGGATTCCTGGCAAGAGGTCAAGAGCAACAGTAAGGACATAGAACAGGAGGGAGGAAAAGCCAGTCATTTGGTTTTGGAAGCATGCCTGAAATAAAAAGGGGAAAGTGTTAAAAATATTTCTTCGGTTAAACTTAAGGTTAGGGTTCCTACATATGAAGAAGAAATTATTCCTTTGTCATGTGAACCTCTTTGTTTGACCCTGCATTGTACCTCAATTATATCACACAGCACCCCAATACCCAGTGCAGTGCGGGTAGCCCTCCTTACCTCGTAAACCCTCAGATTATTGGAGCAGAAGACGACTACTTTGAATCATCACAAGAACAGGTATCTGGCTAAATGTCTCTGATTTTTGGGTCACATGATCATCATCCGATCTAATAAATGGATGCTTTTCCTCAGATCAATGGCGAGTGTACCTGTTTCCAGAGTATTGAGTCGCTGAAGTCTCGGCCGGCACACCTCGCAGTTTTCCTCCACCATGTGGTCTCACAGTTTGACCCTGCTCCTCTGGTATAGCCACAAACACAGTACAAATCAGTGTGTGGTAATGCCTTTGCTGCCAATATCGTCTGAATCCATTGGTATCATCATTTGATACCAATATGAGGCCACTGCAGGCTGAAAATTAAAAGCATACATAAGTATATAGCAAGCATATGCGTATACTGTTTCCTAAAGTAGTAGCAAGGAATTTTAATTGTATTTAAACTTCATTTTACCAAACTTTCCGTGGACTTGTTCTTAGTCATTTTCTATTTTCACACTGCGTTCATGATTCACAACCACATACTCTATATATAAACTATATATAAAATGGGCCTAGCATCTGTGACAAAACATTGGTGATCACAACCCCAGCCGCTCCTACTGAAGATGTAAATCTTAAAAACAACTGTAACCATGGACTGTTGGTATGATAAATACACATTCAGTCCTATCGTGAGTCTTTACAGAAGCAGGAAAGTGAACTGACTAAAAATAAACTACAAAGAGCCTTTTTCATCATAACAAAGGAACATGTCAGACAGTGCAACAGCGTGGCTCATTAATGTGTTTTTCAAAGTTTATCGACAACAATGGAGCTGGCTATTTAGCAGTATAAAGAGGCAACACTTGGTAGAAGAATGCTTTTGTTGTTTTATGTCTTAAAAGCATAAAAGATGTGAATGCAGTTTACACAGACATTATAGAAAAGTAATAAACCTTGCAGAAATGTGTTAACTATTGAGCTGTGAAACTATTGGCAAGAAGGAAAATCTTGCAGACTAATGTAATATAAGATAAACCATTTCTTTGATTATACGAGTTCAATATGAACACAATTTAGTGTGTAAAGCAGTCTCAGTATCATGTATGAATATAAAACTCAGGGACCTAAAAAGGGTTGCCAAGTTCTACTTTGTCATAAATGAAAGTGGGCCAAGGATTGAGCCCTGTGGAACACCGCTGTTGACCTAAAGAGACAGTTTTCTCACAATGTTGTATTTTGTTCATGGTTTGAATAAGTGATGCAATTCATGAAATAAGAAGCTATGCAAACATGGACTAATAGAACCTAATAGAAAGGACTAACTGTATTTTCCCCCTATGGTTAGCTGTGTTACCTCTACGCTGATATGTACAAGCAAACCAACTCCAAAGAAAGTCGACGCTTCTTTATTGAATTACACACGCTATTCATGGATCGAACTGCAGTAAGTTGGTCTATTAGATTCTTTCTCAGCCAGTGTCTGTTCTTTGTGACAATTTTCCTGTTTTTGTTTTAAAAAAATAAAATAAGATAGTGTTCCTGTGTTGATGGGATTCTTAACTCTCCTTCTGTTGTCTTATCTAGAATCTTAAAGTGCCGGTGCCAGAGACCGTTTCGGCTGAGCTAGGTAAGGCATTAGAGGAATCCTCTAAAACAGAGGCTCCCAAAGTGTGGGGCCCCATTGCAGGGGGGGGGAGCGCGGTATGAAAAGAAGAAGAAAAAGAAAAAAAAAAAAAGAAGGCTTGGACACTGCTAGCATGATTGACAGGTTTTTGACGAGGCTCTCACACAAACGCGAAGCAGGAGCTGAAGCATCGCCAATTATGTTTCCAAACCAACTTCATTCTAAGCCAAAGACTAGAAAATATGGTGAAGCATATCTTCCCTTTGGCTTCACCTGCACAAGTGCCGAGGTAGGTCTCTGTAACAGAATTAGTTTCCATTGCGTCGGGAGCATGCGCTCGACAAACACGGACAAACAGTATCCCACATTCTTGATTTTTAGTTCACAAACACTACTTGTAATGACTAACTACTCCTGACATTTTGGAGATGTTAGCCCTTTATACAGTAAAGTTACAGTGGGATCCAAATAAAATCAGGCTGATCCTGCCACGATTTGTTTCCCCAGTTCAAACCACGCACAAACAGTATCCCACAGTTGTTTATGTTTTTTTGCACAGAGAGGCATTTTTTTTTGAGAAATGTATTGATAGCAATGTTGAATATTATTACACAGGAAACTACACATAAAATAATCACACCGTGATGCCTCTGCCTTTCTAAATGGAGGGACAGTAACTGCGTGTGTATGTAAGCGTGTAAAACCTGAAGATAGTCAGATTAACAGTATTTTGTCTCTATCTGCCATTCTGCAATTCATCTCACGTAAACAATAACGTGGCACACAGCGTGACGTGAAAAAAGACACATACCTTTGACGCTGCGTGACGAACTCTGTATTCCTCGTCCACACGGAAACGCAAAAAATGGCGTTTAAAAAAAAAAAAAATCTCAGTTTTCGGTGATTCGAAACGCCGTTTACGTGTGGACGAAAGGTCCGAACGCATAGAAACAGCTGCGTTTTTAAAAACACCCGTTTAAGTGTGGACACAGCATAAAAGAGTTGGGAGATTATTTTATTACTACCTGTAATTTATTGCAGTTTACTTGTATTTGCTTATTTGTTTACTAATTGATTGAGGTGTGAAATAAACCTCAATGCAGTTTGATAACAAAATATGGGTGTGTGTGGCTGGAGGATGTGTTTGTGCGGGCGGAGGGTGTTTAGGTGGTGGTGGGGGCGAACATTTTTCTTGTAAAACAAAGATTTTACTTCACACACACTGTGCATGTCGCTTTGAAAAGTTAAAATCTGAACTCCACTTTTTTTGTGCCGGAGTTTGGAAGTAGAAGATGTAGTCAGAAGACAACAAGCTTAATGAATTACACTGTCCACCTCTGCTGCTTGGGGCCTAATAAGCAAACTGATGCTTGAAGCAGTTTAACAAAGAGTTTATTATACACAAAAACTAAGACCACAAAATTATTATTATTATTTTCAGGAAAGTGTTTGTGTGTGAGTGAGAGAGATTAAGAAACTCCAATTTCATGCAAATTCATGAAACCTTGAGAAATGAAAAAGGTAAACTGAGCATGAGCATGATTGACTGGTAAATATGGATAAATATCATGCAATTTATTACTGTTATTTCTTATGTAGTGTGTAAGATATTCGTTGTATCTGGGTGTTAGTCGCAGGGGTAGCAGTCTAAGCAGAGACGTCCAGACTGGCTTTTCCCCATCCACTTCCTCCAGCTTTGTCAGAGTGGTACAGAGGTGTTCCCATGACAGCTGAGACATGTAATCTTTCCAGCGTGTCTTGGGCCAGATAACCTTACCTAGGAGGCATCCAGGATGCAGATGCCCAACCCACCTGAAATAACTAATTTATTCACTGTGCCCACAGTTTGTGGCTGTAGGTGAGGGTAGGAACGTAGATCGACCGCTCAGCTCACTCTTCACAACAAGAAACTGGTACAACATCCTCATCACTACTGACATCGCACCAATCTGTGTGTCAGTCTCACACTCCCACTCGTAAATGAAATATGTTTGAAAGCTTCAGAGAAAATAAATCAATTCTAATAACTTGGGGTATTTGACAGTATTGGCTACCGTTCTGATATCATCGATTGCAGTGGCTGAAAACAGACTCTACGACAGCAGAAACAAAGAACATGTGTATCACATACGCGACCCGTCATATTAGGGTTTAAACCTGATTCCTTTAATAAATTATAAATGTTTTTTTTTTTCATTTAATTTGTGAATTTGATGCTTTGGGTTTGAATATTTTCTCTGTGTGTGTGTGTGTGTGACAGAGAAGCGAAGGCTGGACTTGATCCCAGACAGCCTGTGTAAACAGTACATTCAGACGTTACAGGACGCGCTGTTACCAGACCTGCACAAGAACCTGGAAGACTTCAGGTAGCTGTCACTCAGCTGTTAAATTTATTCTTATAATAAATGTTTAACCTGAATATTTTCCTGGCAGATATCTGATACATGTCTGTGTAAAGTAATATTTCTCTATGTACATGCGCTCGGTGTGCAGACAGAAGCGCAGCATGGGTCTGACGCTGGCCGAAGACGAGCTCTGTAAGTTGGACTCTGAGCCAGGAAGAGACCAGCAGGCCTTGGAGAAAGAATGCTCCTGTGCTGAACACATCCTCTTCAAGATAGAGGATATCCTGTAAGTCTCTGAGCCACAAAGACACCTAGATGTGTATTTTTAACCCCTATGCTCCTTTCTGATTGTATTTTTTTTTTTTAAACAAACAAAAAAGAAAAACACCCACACAGACGTGCATCATGTGATTGTGTGTGTGTGTGATTTTGCAGGTTGACATCACAGAGCTCAGAAGAGGAGAAGTGGTAAGAGGAGGGAGTTTTATATTTTATATCATCAGGCAGCTGCAGGATACTCAGTGTGAATGATTTTGGGGAAGTTTTATAGTTTCTGTTCTGTTATGATATTTATAAATCATTGTCCCATCTGTGACTAAATGTTAAGACAGAATATTTCAAACAAAGTCTGTGTGAGCACAGTTTTATATCTTTGAACAAATAAATAAGTCTGTCACATGTAAGATAAAATTAATCATAGAGGTGCTTTACTCACAAATATTTTGACACCAGGGCAAATTTCAGTGCTCGAAAATGAAAGTTGTACTGATGCCTCTGATGCCACGTCTCCATCGGCTCAACATCATTCATTAACTTCCCCTGAATGATCTTGTTGGACGTTCTTAAAAAATAAAGGGTGGGTGGGGAAAAGAAATCTTGCACATGGGAAAGAATAAGACAGTCATAAAGCTCTGATACACCATGCAAGAGACCCAAATGTGGAATCTCTTGCCCCCAGTGGTGACATCTTGTACTACATCCATCACACCACAGCTTTACATTGCAACAGGTGGTGTAGACACATAAGCTTGCGAACGAGGCAACGCAGGAGTTTGAAATTGATACTACACTGGCTCCACCAGTATTTCTTTTGTTTATTGCAATAATATGATGGATATTTCTTTCTTTGTAAGAGGTTCAAGGTTCAAGGTTCTTTATTTGTCACATGCATAGTTATACAAGTATAACACACAGTGAAATGTAGCCTGACACAATGGACTGTCTGAAAGAACGTCCGTCTGTTATTAATACTGTGATCATTAAGAGCTGCTGCATAGATGAGAAAATCAGCAGCACGTGTTCTGTGTTACACTGCTACACATTGTGTGTCTCTTATTGCAGGCAAACAATGCAGTATGTGATTCTCACCTACATGAAGCACCTCGGAGTGAAAGTGAAGGAGCATCGAGGCCTCGAACACAAACGTGCTCGCATCAATTTCCTCCCCAGGATTAAGGTGCAACCTCCTGACACACACACACACACACACACACACAGAGTAACCTATACATAATAATGCAATCATTATACAATTCCACTATGAGTAAGTAGTTAAGTGCATGGTTCAATGGATGGATGGATCTATGGGAAGTCACTGACTTATCAATTATCATCGATGTTCTTTATTAGCCTTAAAAACCTTTTTTGAGATTTACTTTGTTGTCTTTAAAAAAATAGTTCCTAGATAAACATGTTTTGTTTTTTCATGAGAAAAGTATGAAGTCTGAGAAGTGGGTGAGAGGAAGGTGAAAATAATAAACAATAATAATAAACTTTGTCTGGCTGGTCACTTTTGGATTCAGCTTTTTAGATTCAATTAAAAGTTAAAAAACACTCGAACGTCCTATGAAGTAGATAGTTTTTTGAGTTTACTGTAGTGCAGTTTATTGATCTTCCACAACTAAGAGCAGAGTCAAATAAACAAAGGCAACGTCAGGGTGTGAGACCTTAAGCACATGCAGCACAGAGACAACGAGAAAGCTAGGAGCCACTTACTCCTCCTGTCCGTGCTAATTAGCCTTTCCAGTGCGTTTAGCATGGAAACACCTCTCATCTGGGTTACTCCCAGTATGTTCAGCTTGCTTCCTTGTGTATTCTGGCCACTGAATGTATGAGAACCTCCCTTCAAGGCTGTGCTGGGACAGGCAACAGTAGTTTTTCCACACAGGTGACATGTGACTGACATTTAAATGAACTTCAGAACTGAGAATCATTTACTCCAATGTGTAACTTATAAACATTTCCATCAGTTTCCCAACATCCGCCCCCCTCGGCGTCCGAGCAGAGTGGACCCCACCCCAGGTGAGAAGAAGAAATATATATTTTAACCATGAGGTATTTGCTGTCTTATTGCATAAAGAGCTGTATCTGTGTATAATTGAGGGTGTACATACAATAACGTTATCGATCTAGTGTGTGATACTTTATGCTCATGGGTTTCTGCACAGTCGTGAAAGCTGTGGACCAGATCAAGCAGCGTCCGCCAAAGCTTCCTCAGTCGCCTCTTGGCATCTCTGAACCATCAGACCAGTCCGCCACAAGTCCTGGACGGATCCGCGATGGATCAGATACCCAATTATTGCCTGCCACCACCCTCCCTACACACAGCTCCCCCACCACTCAGGTCTCAGAGGCAGGCGGACATGAGTCAGAATCCAGTAAGATATTCCAGTTTTTGTTCGTTATTAAATTTTGATAATTTTCTTTTATTTAATTGCCTCAATCTTCCATTACATGTGGGATGAACACAGAGTCACTCAGACACTATCTCTAGTTTCAGTAACATCTACTAAATATCCCTGCAGAATACGGATACTGTTGAATTTGTTCAAATTAAAGCTCCATTCGAGTCTTAATTGTCTCATGTATTTTACTCCTCTTCTCTCCTTTATTCTACAGATGTCTCTCCGTCCTGCATGCAGCCCAGACCAGGCGACAGTGCGCAGTCTGCTGACAACCACGACGGCGTCTCCGGTCCAACCGGCACTCTGTTTGACTTCAGCCCCTCCACGGTGGAGCAGCGGGATGAAGATCAGGAGGCCTTCAGGTAGTTGAAGTTGGGGATGCAGCTTTAAGTCTGTTTTTAAAAACATTTTTGGGCTGTGTGCCACTGTAAAGGAAATTTCTGGATTTAAAGGAAGTAACAGCATACGAATGTACAATTTGAAAGCAAAGAAAGAAAACATACAAAAATACATACAGAGAAAAATCCAACAATCATATGACCCCATATGAGCAAGCACTTTGGCGACAGTGGGAAGGAAAAACTCCCTTTTAACAGGAAGAAACCTCCGACAGAACCAGGCTCAGGGAGGGCGACCCTCTGCCGCAACCAAATAAAAGTTGTAGTTGTATCCATTTTCAAAGAGTTTTTTGCATATATTGGATATAAATAACCAAAGAGTTGTTATTATTTTTAAAAAATTTAACCTATGAATCAACATATTGGGGGTTTGTTCGTTTTCACTTTATGGTCATGGTTGTCACGGGACAAACCATCTATTAGAAAGGTGGGTTGAGAATTTTGTCAAAATATCCTAATGATACTTTTTAAATAGTTTATTGTGTTAAATAAAAATTTTAATGCAGTAACTGTTTCCCTTTCTAATGCCACATTTATCTTTATGATAGCCAGTCTCTCTTTGTCTCTTTAGGATGGAGGTACCGGGTGACATCCAGAGTGAAGATGACCAAGGCGGAGAGGCTGAGTGTGAAGAAGATCCTCTGATCTGGCAGGGACTGGTCCCTCGAGGCGTCCTGATGAGCTTAACGCAACAAGAGATCAACCGGCAGGAAGTCATCAATGGTAAATCGCCAATATTACACATTTTTCCAAAATGATTAAAAAAAGAAAAAAAAGAAATCTGTGCTAATTTTATCCACATGCATGCATTTGTCCGTTCGCTCTTTAGAGCTGTTCTACACTGAGCGTGCACACTTGAGGATGCTGAAGGTGCTGGACTGTGTTTTCTGCCAGAGGCTGAACAGGGACGGCATCCTTCCACCAGAAGACATAAAACACATCTTTATCAACCTGGAGGAAATCCTTCATCTTCATGGTAACAATCAATTAGCTGCACGGTAACACATTTCACACATGACTGAGTAGGGGGTGTGGCTGTAATTGTGTTAATGAGACACATACTGTTTCCTTCATCTACGGCAGATTTTCATATATTCTAATTGATTAATTTTTGGATTTTGGTCATTTCATGGTCCAATGAAAAATCATTACAGGGAAGTGACTGGAAGTTACTGGATGTTACAATAAAGTAAAAGTTTATAATGTTATAAAAACACTTACAGCACACACTTTGTCCTTGTCACGCTGCCAATGGGCCAGATCATGTAAAAAAAAAAACTCGGAAATTTCACAGTGACACACACAAATATAAAGCTGGCGTCATAGTAAATGACTGTCCATGGTCCCTTGTAGGTTAAACACGTGTGCTGACATAGTCATGACACATCATTA